AAATCGAAAATCCTAACTACTTAATCACATAATGTTATCTATAGTTTTAATGTGAGTTTATTATTTAATTTATTAGAACTTTGGTTAGAAAACAAAATTTGATTTGATAATTTGTTACCATTTTAGTTTAAATTGAAGTTAGATTAAATTAAAAATTTATAATAGATAGTAGTCTCTGTGAAACAATATTCGAATTTGATAAATTCACTTTATTACTTGTCACGATTCGTACGCTTGCTGAATTTCACGAACACCTTCCATTACTACTAACTCTCCCACCACCGTCATTCACCAATGCCATCACTGTCGACGTTGAGGCCACTTCATTGAGAAGTAAGTGTTCCTATTTTTCTAATTAGTACAATCAAATTAAACTACAGCCCATGTCTAATTGATGATAGCCCGTGTCCAACAACAGCCCAAGTCCAAAACAAAAACGATAAACCATTAGGCCCAGCCAAAATCCAAAACCTAGATATTATAAATTTAACTTTCGCACTCCGTCTCCTTTGTTCTTTCTCTCTCTTTGGCTGTAGCTCTCTCTAGACTCCGCCTCTCTGTCTCGCTCTCTCGCACTCACGTGATCGCCACCAGCCCTCAAATCTCAATTGTTTGAGTCTGAGATAGGATCAATTTTTGGGAAGCTTCTTCTCCTTTGTTCTAAGGTAGGGGCTATATATGCTTTATCTGTATATTTTATGTTAAGATTTAATCAAAATTGGTAGAAATACTTTGATTTTTGTTTCACCTTGGATGTTAATCTTTTATTAATATATATTCTAAGGTACTTTTCTATCTTTTTACTCATACCTATTTCATAAATAATTTATCAATAATTTTGAATTCTAGTCCAACTAGTCATAAACAGTATTTCTGAATTATTGCAATGAAAAATGTCATCTTTTTATGTCCTGCAGTTGATAACTGAACATAAGTATATATTTTAATTTTGGAGCTGATTAAAAATATCATCTTTTTCCTATTTCACTTATTTCGTTATTTCTTGAATTTATGGCCTGCAGTTGATAGCTGAATATGGCAGATTGGACTGATCTTCCAATGGACATTTTGGTTGTTATCGCTCAAAGTTTAACTCTAATAGAGGATTTTACTTCCTTTACTTCTGTTTGTAAAGATTGGAAATCAGTGACTTCAATATTGAAAAAGAAACCTTCATTGCGTCCTAGATATCCTCGGATCATGCTTGCTGAAAAAATAGATACCGAGGATCAAGAGTATCGAGGTGATCAAGATGCATCAATTCGTTGCTTTCTTAACTTATTAACCTCAAAAACATATCAACTACAGTTGCCAGAAGCGTGTGGCAGGAAGTGCACAGGAGCACATTACGGATGGTTGTGGACAATTGGCATTGATTTGCAAATCAATTTATTGCACCCCTTCTCTAGACAACAAATTTGCCTACCACCCATGTTGACCTTCCCTGATCAGTATGAATATGATGAGACATTCAAGCCACAAGAGGTTTGGGATTTTTTTGTTAGGAAAATAGCAATGTCCTCAAATCCTCGGAAGGGCAATAGTTTGCATGATTATAATGAGGATTGTACTATAGTTGCTATTTATGGAGAATTTGCTATATTGGCATTTACAAAATTAGGAGATACTGTTTGGAACAATATCTCGGTCCATTCTCGCGTTTATCAAGATGTTATTTTCTATAATGGCAAATTTTATGCCGTAGATTGTCATGGAGTTGTAGTTGTTTGTGACTTTGATGATGCTAATGGCCCAAAAGCAACAGTTATTGCTCCTGCTCCAATTGAAACTAGAGATACGTATCAGAAGTATCTAGTTGAATTATCAGGACATCTTCTACTTGTTTCTCGTTTTCGAAAGGGTTATTTATTTGGTGATGATGATGATGAGGAGGATGAGAGTGATGAGGAGGAGGATGAGAGTGATGATGAGGAGGATGACAAGAGTGATGTGGATGGTAATGATAATGCTGATGAGGTGGAAGATGTTAAAGACAGTGACAACGAAGAGAAGAAGAAAGCTAGATACTATACAACTGGATTTTCTGTTTTGAGGCTAGATGAATGTCATGAGGAGGGAAGTAATTATGCATATAGATTAACTGAAGTAACTAGTTTAGGAGATCAAGCATTGTTCTTAGGTAGAAATGTTTCTATATCAATTGCCTCGTCAGAATGCATCAAACCAAATTGCATATACTTTACTGATGATAATTTTGAGCTCTATCTCAATGAACCAGGCGGAGGTGGCCATGACACGGGAATATTTAACATGGAAGACGGAAGTGTTCATTTAAATTATGCAGGAGAATCTCGTAGTAATATTTCACCTCCATTATGGTACATTTGATTGTCAACCAGTAATTGCATTTTCTGCTTGTCATTTAAATTATTTCTTTCAATATTGAATGGAATGAAGTATGTACTAGTTCTATTCTATTGTTGTTCATTTAATTCCACGGATATTGACTCGACGTTTTATTTTGGAAAATCTATAATCAAACTAAAAATTAGTTACTTAAGGAATTCGAGATTAACACTTATATTTTGCCATGTTTGAAGTCTTCAATCCTATTTTTACTCCTAATCTCCTAGTAAAAAAGCTTGCTCTTTATCATCACATTTATGAACGACGTAATCTCGATTTTTAGGGATTTCTGAATGGTTGTGTTGTTCTATTTGTGGGTTGTCATTCCGTTCTCGTTAAACTTCTCAATTAGAAGTTCACCAGCTTGTGTAATTCTTTTGCTTCTCTTTGTCTAGTCTGAAAATATTTAAAAAAATAAAAAATCAGAGATTTTGTTTGTTAAATTATCTGGGAATTTCAATTTAGTATGTTTGTCAAAGTGAAAGTCACATGTGGTCATGTAGATGGTTCTATTTTAGAACCTAAGGCTGAATCTAATAGCCAAAGGAATAGCAGAATGGAATTTCAGTGATGCCAAATTGATGCTTTTTGATGGTAAATCTAATACTACAGGTGTTCTGGATTACAAATTGATGTTTTTTGATTTGTCGGCATTAATTTGAGGGAGGTTCATTTGTTACATCAGCATATCAGATCTCAAGTTTTAAATAGGTTCGTAATTTGTTGGTTTTGGTGTAGAATTCTGAATAACAGGATTCATTTGTTACCCAACTGAATGTTAGGAAAGTTATAGAAGAATGGAGATGGTTATGCAGGAAGAATTATTTTAGTTCTCGGTTCCATTATAATCCTAGGAGTTATATAGAGTGCTCTATAATGTTTAATTCATGATATTTAAGCAAAGAGATTACATACGTAGATTATCTTCTTAGTGAGAGCTAATAGGTTCTGTTGGGATGCTTTTTTGGTAGAATTTTTTAACAAATAGAGCTCGAAAGAAGTAAGATTGGGATGATCCATCAAGCGCAGAACCTTCGCTATGGTCACAGTCTCTCCAGTTTGAAAGCATTTTGCCAGTCGTTCTATAAATGAAGGTAAAATTATAGACATTGTTATGATGCCAGATGAACAGCTGAAAAACCATTCGAAATGATCCTATTTTTCCATTTGCGCTGAAGTGATGTCCCCTGTTTTTCTTGATGGTGTGTTTGTTTCTTTCACTGTTAAAGAAAAGATTTGGAATATTTTAATTAACATTTATTGTTGTTAGGTGTATGATTGATAGGTTGTAAATAGATTTTGATTTTTCAATATTTACCAATTGACTATTGTAATTCGCTTGTGGAGAATTTTCCTTTACATTTCAATGAGAATATGGACGACCAATTTTCAGCAATTATTTGTTCAAGTTTTTCGTATTCACTTATTCTCATTTATTTGATAGGGATGCACATTTATTTTTATAATGAATGTATAAAGATATGATGGACAATGTCATTTGTACAATAATTTTTGACAATATTGTGGACAATGTGGTTGGAAAGATAAATTATTTTTTAAACTGTCACATGATAACATGTCACGTGGCATATGTTGTCAACAACGTTGTGAAAAAGATTGTACACCAAGCATGATAGAGATATGATTGATTACAATGATTCTCATTTTAAGAAATCACAATGATCCAAACTATTTAAGATGGACGATTTTATATTTTTTGCACGTTAACATTCTCAATCTCTTTGTATAAGTACTTAGATGATGGATGATATGTAATATTCATGTGAACTTAAAAAATATTTTTCTTACAGTTTTTAATTCAAGTATTGATTATTACAAGAAAAATGAGTCTGAGATATGGGTGAGCAAAAAAATC